CGGACCCCGCTCGAGCGATCGACTATCATGTTCTGTTAGAACACGTTAAGTTGACCGGATATCAGTGAAAAAATTTTGGGCGTAAAGCGATTTTGAAAAATGACAGGCGTTTTTTCGAATTCTGATCGAAGTGCGGATGGGGGTGTTCCGGACCCCCCTGGGGAAAACGGCTTGGTGGGATTTTAGAAGATGTTAAATAAACACGATTTATTATTTACATCTCATCTTGAATTTGGATTCAGTTTAGTTGATAACTTTGATCGGAAGTCCATCAATTTTTTTAAACGCAGTAACTTCCCACCATAGACAAAGTATTACAGGGGGTTAAAAGTTAAAAGACTTTCAAAAGGACCACATTCTATAGTTTGCTCAAAGAACTTCATTTTGAGTATAGAAAACGGGGCAGAATTAGTATTTTGATGGACAACCAAGAGATTATTTTAGGGGGAAGAAATTATTTAAAATCAATAAAGAAATACCGCGATCAGGGCTGTCACTACAATTAAATCAACAAGACAAGCCTTCTTAGATGGACTAACCACTGGTCTAAAGAATCCATCAGGTATGTACGTGTATGTAACCAATTCGTCACTTGTGTTGTAAAAATGGTGTCAAGTAGACTGAATCTATGAGACCACGCTGAAAACTTAGCTACACTAAACTTAGCTATATCTGGTAGATTTGGCACCAACACCTGTTAGATACTCTGCTTGTATTATTAGTTTTCTTGAATACTATATGAAATAATTATTTCCAGGAAAAGGAAAACGATTTGTTATCTGTCACATTGGCAGTGAAGATGGATGGCTTTGTGCCCACTTCCCTATGGGCATTTGAGTCAAAGAAAACGACCGACTACCATGAAGAAATGGACGGGAGTTCATTTGAATGATGGTTTTGAGAAACAATCCCAAGGCTTGACGACAATGCCGTCATTGTACTTTATTATGCTGGATACCAAACTAGAAAATTAAAAAAAAAATCCCACAATGTCTACAAGAAAGGCAGAAATTCAACAATGGCTCCTATCAAAAGACATTAGTTTCATGAATTCTTTACATTGATTAGGACAACTTTAAATCGATACCTCATTGTGCAGAAAATATTCATGTTGAAAAAGTACTAACATTGTGTTACTGGTCAATAAAGGATATATAACTTTGATAATTTATACTTAGTGGCATCTAGAATTGGTATTTCAACTGCACATAGAAAGATATCATTGGTATAAATAACACCAGTTCTGCTCAGGCTAAGAACTTCGAAAGGGTGAGTTTCATATAACAAAACCAAATTTTTCTTTGAATAAATAGATCTTAGGTAATTTTCAATATGGGTCAGTTCCTTAAGACTAAAACTAGCTACATTTGTCATCTGTTTGTGTGATAAGGATATTGTGCCTTGGATCAGTCTGAGATAATCTAAAATTTCTGGTAAAGGAATAGTCTAAAAATCGAACATTCATATTCGTAATCATAAATTGACTTCTTGACAGTTTCTGATAGCAATTGTACATTGTTTTGAATGACTTTCATATCGTTCTCAAATTTTTGTAAAATGAGCTGAGCGAATGATTTTTGCTTATTGATGGCTATTATAAGGTGATAATTTTGAATGTTCCATTTTTACATTATTAACCTTTTTGTATAGGTCCTCTAGTACCGGTTTGAGGTTGATCTCATTAGAACGATTTACTACAATACTATAACTAACTTCTATCTGTCTAATAACATCAGCTATTAAGCTGAGATTATGGCTAAAAATAAACGTATGATAATGGCTTATTAATTTTGCGTCCCCCAACGGCTCCGGGTAGAAACCCTTATTGGTTAAGACTTGATGAAGCCTCAGCGGAAGATTGCGGCCATAAGGTTGCCACTAACACGACCACACACCAAAGATTCATGGGAAACGTTGAAAAAAACGTTCGTCTTCTACCTTTTCTTCTTTCTTCGGCTTCACTAGTTTCTACGATAGACTGGTTGTGCCGCTAAAAATGCAGCACACCCTCCTAACTGAACCACTTCTATTAATTGCGATCGCGGGTCAAAAAATGAACCAGTTCGGAACTAAAACTGAACCATCCAGAATTACACAAATGCGCATGTCCAGTTATTTTCTAGTTCCAGATTTTCGTTTACTGCGAACGACTTTGGAACCGTTTGCGTATTCAACACTGTTGCCAATTTGCCCTCTATTTTATGCTGTTGCCAAGCTGCTATTCGATTGACACTATTGACAGCTTCCAGGTGCTTTCGGTACTTCAATAACTTCCAATAGTTCTTCCAAATCATCATCGGTAAACGATAAATGGTCCGACATCTTAAGCACAAAATCTTAAGAACTTAAGATGGAACACACAAAACATATGTATGGAACAGCAAGCTCTAAAAAGCACAGGTGACAGATTTTCACAGAATAGGTTAAATAGGTCAAATGTCCATAACGATGCTAATGCGCATGATCAGTCGGATCGAACTTTTAGTCTCACCAAAAATCTGAGAACTGTCAGGACCAATTCGGAATCAGTTCTGTACCAATTCGATATGATCCGCGAACGCAGAACTGTAACTAAAAATTCAGAATTTTCTTACCGCGAACGGCGATTTTTAAAGTGCGCATGCGAAGTGGTTCAGAATCAATCCCGAATCGGAACCGCGAACGAAACTATTGTCAAGGTTTTCGGGAGTTCTGGAACTTAGGGCCGACGCCCAATGCTGCCGGTCCTTAGTACCTTCACTCTGTTGTTGTTGGCTGTGGATCCCTCTAAAAACTTGAAAGTTCGCGGGTCTATGACTGATGATTTTGGCTGGCTCGATTGCCTCGAATTTGGACGCCAAAGGTGCACGTTTCACGTTTCGCAACACGCTGAGGGATCCCGGATGAGTCCCCAGTTAAATTACTGCCACCGAAATACTTGTTTCTAAAAAAAGCTTAATTTTGATTAACGGTACAAAAGGACTTTTGTGAAACCTTGTCACGACGATGCGTAAAACAGGACTGTTAGACAAGAAGTGACAAGATTTCCTCACACATGGATTTAGTACAATGCAGTAAAAATATAATATGCTGATACAGAGGATGTTAACATGTGAACTTCAAGGCGCGAGATAAGATTCCATAGCGTAGCGACAATACTAGCAAGAAATACAAGTACCAGGTAATAATTATAATATTATATAAAATACAGGGTCATGATGGATATAACTTACATATGTATTTTGATTAATAGTTTGAATTTTTAACTTATATCGGGATCAGTAATTACAATAACAATCAACATTACTTCAACAACTTGATTCAGTCATCTCTCATCTCGTCCAGACTTGCAAGAGAAAATGTTTGAAAATTTTCAGATCCGTCTCTGTCCTCGTGCCTCCGGTACTCGGATTTATAGCCGTTTTATGACTATCGGCAAAAAATGTAAACGAATACAATATCGTTGTCGTGTGCTACACACTGTGGCTAGCCAAGCGCCTAGATAGCTTAGCACACGTGCAAAGAGCGGCATTTATGATCAGACTTAATACATACTTATACAACTTGCTTGATAAATCTAGCCAAGTTATAGAATCTTAAATATAAACACGGGAAACGTGAAGTTGGTATCTGTCAAACTTCAAATTTTGGCATAAACCGTGGCATAAAAAGGCGTTTTGTGACCTCGTAACATCTGTTAGAACCTAAAGCTATCCTATATATATTGTGTAGGTAGAAAAAGAAAAATCTCCCTTCCGGTTATTGCACTTTTTAACCGATAACCGGTTAATGATATATCTTGTAAAACGTTAATGAATTTAGGAAAAGCGGTTATTCAATCCACTCTTGATTGAACTGTGCGGGGATCACAGAATTTTTCTACTGCTACACAGTCAGAGAAGATAATCCTTTTATAATTGGATAAAGTTTATTTTGTGAAATATAACAATTCCCGATGCAATGCTCAAGTGAAACGAACTAGTTAGTCTTTGATCAAGGAAGGATGGAAGGAGGCTAAACTTTCATTTTCTCTGTTCAAAAGATAATCGACTACTTTGTGTTTCTGTGTTGTTTGTTAAAATTCCGTTTGGCTGATATTTTCTTTTTACTCAAGAAGATGTTAAAAAATGTCTTAGAGAAGATTACAATTCTTTTTGTTTCATTCATCCATCGTTTGCGTCATCATTGTCTTCTGACGTTATCTGCAGCATACATCGGTGATATCATAGCACAGCAGCAAGATGGAACTTATCTGTACTTTTCACAATTCTTTATCCGCTGGAAGTACTTGAATCATCGTCCGAATGGTTCAATCCTCCGTAAGTGAATATGTGTATGCATACGTATTCCCTCACTAGAGTCCGTGTGGCGTCCCCCTTTCCCCTGTATCCCCTATAGGGCCACGGTACCCCATGGGTGTTTAGGCCTTCGTAGTAGTTGGAGTATCAAAAAATCGTTACGTCAGGTTCATTTTTAATATCGATCATATTGTCCAGATCCCACATCTTTGTTTCGATTGTCTCTTGAACGTGACGGATGCAATCTTTCCAATGGTTTGCTATCACTCTGTTGACAGCTTCATAAAACAAATTTTTCCCGTCAGAAATGAAGAATGTTCTTTTGTTTGAAGCCACATAGTTTTTTCATATTTGCCCAAATCATTTGTTTTCTTGAATACTATATGAAATAATTATTTCCAGGAAAAGGAAAACGATTTGATATCTGTCACTATTGGCAGTGAAGATGGATGGCTTTGTGCCCACTGCCCTATGGGCATTTGAGTCAAAGAAAACGACCGACTACCATGAAGAAATGGACGGGAGTTCATTTGAATGATGGTTTGAAGAAACGCTCCCAAGGCTTGACGACAATGCCGTCATTGTACTTGATAATGCTGGATACCAAACTAGAAAATTAAAAAAAAAATCCCATAATGTCTACAAGAAAGTCAGAAATTCAACAATGGCTCCTATCAAAAGACATTAGTTTCAATGAAAATATGGTCAAAGCAGAACTTATCCATATAGTCAGACAGCACAAATATAAATATAGTCTTTTTGTTATTGACGAAATGGCTAAACACCAAAATAAGACCGAATTAAATCCCATTGAAATGATTTGGGCAAATATGAAAAAACTATGTGGCTTCAAACAAAAGAACATTCTTCATTTCTGACGGGAAACATTTGTTTTATGAAGCTGTCAACAGAGTGATAGCAAACCATTGGAAAGATTGCATCCGTCACGTTCAAGAGACAATCGAAACAAAGATGTGGGATCTGGACAATATGATCGATATTAAAAATGAACCTGACGTAATGATTTTTTGATACAATCGAGCCAGCCGAAATCATCAGTCATAGACACGCGAACTTTCAAGTTTTTAGAGGGATCCACAGCCAGCAACAACAGAGTGAAGGTACTAAGGACCAGCAGCATTGGGCGTCGGCCCTAAGTTTCAGAACTCCCGAAAACCTTGACAATAGTTTCGTTCGCGGTTCCGATTCGGGATTGATTCTGAACCACTTCCCATGCGCACTTTAAAAATCGCCGTTCGCGGTAAGAAAATTCTGAATTTTTAGTTACAGTTCTGCGTTCGCGGATCATATCGAATTGGTACAGAACTGATTCCGAATTGGTCCTGACAGTTCTCAGATTTTTGGTGAGACTAAAAGTTCGATCCGACTGATCATGCGCATTAGCATCGTTATGGACATTTGACCTATTTAACCTATTCTGTGAAAATCTGTCACCTGTGCTTTTTAGATCTTGCTGTTCCATACATATGTTTTGTGTGTTCCATCTTAAGTTCTTAAGATTCAGTGCTTAAGATTTTGTGCTTAAGATGTCGGACCATTTATCGTTTACCGATGATGATTTGGAAGAACTATTGGAAGTTATTGAAGTACCGAAAGCACCTGGAAGCTGTCAATAGTGTCAATCGAATAGCAGCTTGGCAACAGCACAAAATAGAGGGCAAATTGGCAACAGTGTTGAATACGCAAACGGTTCCAAAGTCGTTCGCGGTAAACGAAAATCTGGAACTAGAAAATAACTGGACATGCGCATTTGTGTAATTCTGAATGGTTCAGTTTTAGTTCCGAACTGGTTCATCTTTTGACCCGCGAACGCAATTAATAGGAGTGGTTCAGTTAGGTGCATCTTTAGCGGCACAACCAGTCAATCGTAGAAACTAGTGAAGCCGAAGAAAGAAGAAAAGGTAGAAGACGAACGTTTTTTCAACGTTTCCCATGAATCTTTGGTGTGTGGTCGTGTTCCTGGCAACCTTATGGCCGCAGTCTTCCGCTGAGGCTTCATCAAGTCTCAACCAATAAGGGTTTCTACCCGGAGCCGTTGGGGGACGCAAAATTAATAAGCCATTATCATACGTTTATTTTTAGCCATAATCTCAGCTTAATAGCTGATGTTATTAGACAGATAGAAGTTAGTTATAGTATTGTAGTAAATCGTTCTAATGAGATCAACCTCAAACCGGTACTAGAGGACCTATACAAAAAAGTTAATAATGTAAAAATGGAACATTCAAAATTATCACCTTATCATTCACACAGTAGAAGGCGTCGAGCAATTATTAATGGATTTGGCAGCAAAATTAGGTATGTGGCAGGAAATTTAGATCAAGATGACCTTACAGAAATCAACGATAAATTTCAATCATTAAAAGACAAGGAAAACGAACTTATAATAGCCATCAATAATCAAAAATCATTCGCTCAGCTCATTTTACAAAAATTTGAGAACGATATGAAAGTCATTCAAAACAATGTACAATTGCTATCAGATACTGTCAAGAAGTCAATTTATGATTACGAATATGGGCAAATATGAAAAAACTATGTGGCTTCAAACAAAAGAACATTCTTCATTTCTGACGGGAAAAATTTGTTTTATGAAGCTGTCAACAGAGTGATAGCAAACTATTGGAAAGATTGCATCCGTCACGTTCAAGAGACAATCGAAACAAAGATGTGGGATCTGGACAATATGATCGATAATAAAATGAACCTGACGTAATGATTTTTTGATTCTCCAACTACTACGAAGGCCTAAACACCCATGGGGTACCGTGGCCCTATAGGGGGATACAGGGGAAAGGGGGACGCCACACGGACTTTAGTGAGGGAACACGTATGCATACACATATTCTGGCCACGCCTACGAGATCCGCCGGGTCTACCACTTACGGAGGATTGAACCATTCGGACGATGATTCAAGTACTTCCAGCGGATAAAGAATTGTGAAAAGTACAGATAAGTTCCATCTTGCTGCTGTGCTATGTTATCACCGATGTATGCTGCAGATAACGTCAGAAGACAATGATGACGCAAACGATAGATGAATGAAACAAAAAGAATTGTAATCTTCTCTAAGACATTTTTTAACATCTTCTTGAGTAAAAAGAAAATATCCGCCAAACGGAATTTTAACAAACAACACAGAAACACAAAGTAGTCGATTATCTTTTGAACAGAGAAAATGAAAGTTTAGCCTCCTTCCATCCTTCCTTGATCAAAGACTAGTTCGTTTCACTTGAGCATTGCATCGGGAATTGTTATATTTCACAAAATAAACTTTATCCATTTATAAAAGGATTATCTTCTCTGACTGTGTAGCAGTAGAAAAATTCTGTGATCCCCGCACAGTTCAATCAAGAGTGGATCTAGTTTAGGGATGGGCAAAAATAACCAGTTAATTGAATAACCGGTTTTCCTAAATTCATTAACGTTTTACAAGATATATCATTAACCGGTTATCGGTTAAAAAGTGCAATAACCGGAACGGAGATTTTTCTTTTTCTACCTACACAATATATATAGGATACCTCTAGGTTCTAACAGATGTTATGAGGTCACAAAACGCCTTTTTATGCCAAGATTTGAAGTTTGACAGATACCAACTTCACGTTTCCCGTGTTTATATTTAAGATTCTATAACTTGGGTAGATTTATCAAGCAAGTTGTACAAGTATGTATTAAGTCTGATCATAAATGCCGCTCTTTGCACGTGTGCTAAGCTATCTAGGCTAGCCACAGTGTGTAGCACACGACAACGATATTGTATTCGTTTACATTTTTTGCCGATAGTCATAAAACGGCTATAAATCCGAGTACCGGAGGCACGAGGACAGAGACGGATCTGAAAATTTTCAAACATTTTCTCTTGCAAGTCTGGACGAGATGAGAGATGACTGAATCAAGTTGTTGAAGTAATGTTGATTGTTATTGTAATTACTGATCCCGATATAAGTTAAAAATTCAAACTATTAATCAAAATACATATGTAAGTTATATCCATCATGACCCTGTATTTTATATAATATTATAATTATTACCTGGTACTTGTATTTCTTGCTAGTATTGTCGCTACGCTATGGAATCTTATCTCGCGCCTTGAAGTTCACATGTTAACATCCTCTGTATCAGCATATTATATTTCTACTGCATTGTACTAAATCCATGTGTGAGGAAATCTTGTCACTTCTTGTCTAACAGTCCTGTTTTACGCATCGTCGTGACAAGGTTTCACAAAAGTCCTTTTGTACCGTTAATCAAAATTAAGCTTTTCTTAGAAACAAGTATTTCGGTGGCAGTAATTTAACTGGGGACTCATCCGGGATCCCTCAGCGTGTTGCGAAACGTGAAACGTGCACCTTTGGCGTCCAAATTCGAGGCAATCGAGCCAGCCAAAATCATCAGTCATAGACCCGCGAACTTTCAAGTTTTTAGAGGGATCCACAGCCAACAACAACAGAGTGTTCCAGAACTCCCGAAAACCTTGACAATAGTTTCGTTCGCGGTTCCGATTCGAAAATTTTCAAACATTTTCTCTTGCAAGTCTGGACGAGATGAGAGATGACTGAATCAAGTTGTTGAAGTAATGTTGATTGTTATTTTAATTACTGATCCCGATATAAGTTAAAAATTCAAACTGTTAATCAAAATACATATGTAAGTTATATCCATCATCACCCTGTATTTTATATAATATTATAATTATTACCTGGTACTTGTATTTCTTGCTAGTATTGTCGCTACGCTATGGAATCTTATCTCGCGCCTTGAAGTTCACATGTTAACATCCTAACACTTCTTGTCTAACCGTGATGTTTTACGCATTGTTGTGACAAGGTTTCACAAAAGTCCTTTTGTACTGTTAATCAAAATAAAGTTTTTTTTAAAAACAAGTATTTCGGTGGCAGTAATTTAACTTATGTGTTATATCTAATGTTAGCGATGTCAAAGATGTAAAGTTACTTACCTAATTTGCTATGTTGAGGAGCCTTCTTCCAGAAACACGCATATCAAGATTATTCACCTAAATACATACCTGTATTTCATTTCACTTTCACAATTTACTTCTTTATTTAAAAAATGTCCAACAATAACTTAATCCTCTTCTGAAGGCTCATCATTGACGTCAATAATGAACTTTGTGTTTTCCATTTGGTGAATCTTATGTAAGTCTTTATATTAATTTTCAATTTGTAGGACTCTGTCGATGGTTTTCTTCCAAAATAATTCAGTGGTTTTGCCTGCCTCTGATCTGATTAGGTCGGCTACGGCTCGGTCACTAGACGGATTTATGTTCCTTCAGGGTATTCTTCTTTTTAGTTGAGCCCATATTAACTATATGGGATTAAATATACAAAAATAAGGTGGCAGGCGTAGGATCACATGCCCGCAAGAAGCTGAAAATTTCTCTGTCTTGTACGGAGCACCCCCAACATTTTTTTTTTATATAAGAATCCTCAAAATAGAGATCGTGCTCCCCAAGAAATTCTTGAATGTATTTTTTGCAGGATGAGGAATGAGAGACCTTTGCGATTTGTCGGGAATGGTAGCTGGCATTATCCGTTCCCAAGGGCAGAAAAAATTCGTATCGCACATAATTAATATTCACATCGTTCGTCAACCTCGATTGCCTGCATAGAACTGAAAATATATTCCCGAGTACCGCTCTGTTGCATCGCGCTGGATTCACCTGCGCACGGGGCTTGAGGGGGTGGAGGGGTTCAGGACTTCAAAGTGCAGTCACATTACGTGAACTTGTTGCTATGACAGTATCGGAACAACGCGATTTTTTTTTTGGATTTGCTACATTCAAACCAATTGTATCGTATCGCACTATTAGAGCTTTATAAGTTATTGCACATTGCTCAAATATCATATAATGACCGTACTAAAGTGGCGGGTCGGTAACAAAAGGAATCAGAAAAAATGTAAACGAATATGGTTGTCGTCTAGTAAATCTACTATGCTTTCAACATCATAATCAGTAATGTTGATACTCCAGAGATCCAGGAAAAAACAAAAATAGGTTGCTCAGAAAGAGGCGTTCGATAGAAGGTTGGGATTAAACTATAGGAGGTGACCAGAATCCAAATTATAATCTACAATACAAAAATGAACATTTATATCTATACTGTAGCAAAAAGCGCAAAATGTATTGAAAAGGCGAAACAGAATACTGAATGCTGCAACTTTATCTGCTAGAATAAAGACACAATAATGGCATGATGCTAAGTCTGGCCAAAACATAATATGGTCATTAGCATGATGTGCGTGGACAAACTGAAGCAATTTGGAAAGGCAGTTATCAATACAGCTCTGACTATTCAAAGCTTCACCCCTCACCCTTCCCACTTTAAGGTAGGGAGACACCCCTGTTAGAAATTGTGCACCAGACAAGGATTTTATCTGTATATCTCCCTGTATGTTTCTAAAACTCTCTGCTAAAGAGAACCATGGTAATAAAGGAAATATATATATATATACCCTCGAAGGTTGGTACATTGTAGCTCCAACTGCAAAGCATAAGCCATCGTTTTACAACATTATCGAAATGAATTACTAAGATTTCTTAAATTTTAAGGAGTTTTCCAAGTGTGCAATTGTAAACAAAAAGAAATTTGAAGATGGCGATACCTTAAATTGGTAAAAGTAAAATGGATTCAATATAGGAGAGACCAACCTAACTGAATATTCTTCAAGGAACGTTCAAGTGATCCGGAGTTCCATTCCATATTGGTTAAAAATGAATGTAGGAGAAATAGTATAACTTCAGTAAATCAAACCAAACGGTACACTAACAATTTACCAATTGAAAAACGAAAAATGCTTGGTTTGCCTAAACTTTGTGACTCTGATGCCATAAAGTCGCCTTATCATGGATTTTATTAGGCACTAAGAACCACTGATGAAGTTCAAGATAAAGCCAATTCTGACGAAAACTGATTGGATAATTTGTTCTATGCTATTACTGATAATATATAATAAAAATATTTTTTTATAGAAATAAATTTTTGTTTTCCATTGATATGGTAAAGCATAATCCTAAAATGAAACTGGCCAAAAAGATTTTTGTTTCTTCTATTAATTATTCTTCTAGAGAAAAAACAACAATTTTCAGGGTACATACTTTATTAAAATCGCGCTAGCTCGGAAGTTTGTCTATGTCGGTTAGAACCCTTCACGCTCAAGACGAACATATACCATCATGTTTAAGGATCTTGTTCGCGCCACAAGTAAAAAGCACGTCAATTTATCTTGATGTAACCTACAGTTATCCAGTTCTATTGAAACAGACAAAACCGATACTAATAAGGGATGTAGTCTACAAAAGAAGAACCACGTCGTCGTAGATATATGCCTCGACAAAAACGCATGGTGCACAATATCGGATTGCAGGACTGCAGGTAAAGAAATCGGCCACTCGCACTTTGTTTACGGGAGCATTTCCACAGCCCACTACCTGACTAACATCTAAATAAATACGGCGCCAAAACAATCGATAAAGGTGCCAATCAATAAATCGATTGTTTCGGCCACCTTACGCAGCAGTCTACTAGATCTTGCAAGGTGTTTGATAACAAATGGAGTGTTCAATGCATTGGCTGCAGCCCGTTCGCCATTTTGACGATGCTGGGACTGTGGGACCACCGAGACACCTGTGCTTCTGCACCCAGGTGGGCAATTTG